TGAGATAATCTTCAAGTTTTTTCCAAACCCAACAAATGTATTTCCTAAGCCTAGAGCCACCCATTTTGCTTATAAATATATCAAAAACCCCTCTCTTCCCACCATATTTCGCATGCAGAATTTGAACCCATAGCTCCTTTGGTTAAGAGAAAATCACCTAAGCAAGTTTCCCACAAGGGCTTCATTCATTAGGGAGAGTTTTTTCAAACCCATACCTCCAACATCTTTTGGTTTAGTGAGAGTATTTCATCCAATGAGGTGCAACTTCCTTTTGTCATCCTTGTACCTCCATAAAAAAACATCTTTGTAGTTTCTCAAGTTCAAGACACATTGAAAGAGGAATTTTATCACATTGCATATGAAAGAAATTGGTTTGCAGAACAGATTGGGTGAGGGTGATTCTACCCGCTTGGGATAGACATTTAGCTTGCCACCCACTAAGCTTATTCTAGACTTTCTCCACAATATTTGTATATGCTCCTTTAGAGACTCTATTATGCTTCATCCACACTCCTAGGTGTCTGCCCATATTTCTCACCCTTTTCAACTTTTAGAGAATCAATTACATTTGAAAGTTATATTATTTTACAAGCTCATTGTTACTAAATTCTACATATAACAATTGTTCTTATCATGTGTTCCTCCCTATATTTTAATTTTTTTATTTTATATATAAAATAATATTTTTCAATAATATTAAGTTATCATTACTAATAGTTAGCTCGTTCCTCAAAAATATTTATAATAGTTAATATATTTTATTAGTCTTAATAATACTTATAATTTAAAATCTTATTTTCACTGCTATGTCTAGGTTGGAGGTGCCTGTGGTCCTAGCTCATCCTCTCGAGATAACTCCATGAAAACCTCGATAATATGACCAATCTCGTCGCGAACCCAATCCAAACTGTACCTCGGGAACTCCTCAACAGTGGTCGCGTAGTATAGCATCTTCAGCCCATCAATCTATAACTCACAACATAAATGTCATACGAAAAATAATAATGTATAATGAACTCATAATATAATAATTGGCACTATAAACACATAAGTCGTACCATGCGTTCTATCTTCACAGCCCTCCTCGAATTGTATCGTTTGCCTCTAAGCCTGTCCCACTCCATGTACCCATGGTTCGGTGACATCAGATCGTGCAATGTATCGAGCACCACTATCTGCTACTCCCTAAGCTCCCATCTATGTATAAATGGCCTAAGCTTACGCGTCTAGTTTTTATCTTTTTACCTCATGCAACGTATGATCATGGACACCTTTAAGCTTTCTAAGAACATCTAGTATCGGATAATCTCGTCTAAACTATCGCTACATCTATGTGGTTGGCAACACTCAACTGTGTGGAAACAAATGACCGGTGTCATGACCAACCACAAATACTGCTCATGAGGAGATACACCCAACAATACATAATCGATGTATGGTTGCCAAACCAACTACACAAAAAAGAGAACACACAATTAATCTATATTACTAGACGTAATCACATTTTGAAATATTGAAATTATATAACATACCTCATCCCTACATGATGTGTCAAGGGTTTCCCGATAATGCATAATCTCGTGTGGTTTATGTAAGAACCCGCACCGCTAATTAAGGAAATTAATTAAATAATTATGAGATAATTTCATAATTGACCCTAATAATTATTATGAGGCTTTAATAATTATGGTAAGTGGGTAATAATGTTGAAAGTCGCTTTTCTGACGAAAAGTGCAGATACCAGTTCTGCTAGTCGATATAAATGCGTACCGATAAAGTATCCCGAAAAATTATAATAAGTGAATGAATATTCCTAGAATAATATGTAGGACTTGTAAAATGAGTTTCAAGTTAAAATAATGAGAACTGGTGTCAGAACTGATACTGGCTATGGAAAAGCGTGTACCGGAAAGATGCTGCGAAAAATATAAGAAAAATATGATAATTCTTGTAAAATTGAGTAGGTTAAGAATCTTGAGTTTGGGATTAAAATGCTAAGCGTAGCAATTAACGATAATATTGTGTTATTAATTCATAAGTGGCTTTATATAGGCTTGTTGGCACAAAACCCTAGGCCATGCTATTGCTGTGAGGCTTTGTGGCTGCTGATCAGACTCTTCTTCTTGTCACCGTCAACTTCTCTTAGAACCTCCAAAGTAACCACCTTTCTCTACCTTTTCTTCATCAAAACTCTTTGGTTGTGTGTGATGGACACTTGTGAGTGGGAGAGGAGCTTGTGTTCTGGGTTTAGAGGCTGCTAGAGAGGTGGTGAGGGGCTTAGTTGGTGTGTTTCCTTAGTGTGAGCCTTTGTTTATGCCATTGGAGGCTCCAAGAAGCCATTTTTTATGAGAAGGAACCTTGGTAGTGTGCCATTTTCGTTCTCTTTGCAAGTCTGTACCCTAGGAGCTGAAGAGTGAGCTCCAAGAGCTTTCTTTCCACTGTTTTGAGTTGTTGGCAAGCTCCATCAACCTTGACCTTGTGTTTCCTTGGTTAAAAATGTAACCCTGATGCATGTAATGGATTAGAGTTGATAACCTAATGTTGGGTAATGCTAAACACACCTACAAATGCGTGTTTAAGCTTCTGTAATCGGTAAAAATGGAACCTTGGAAGTAGTATTTTGCGAAATGCAGAATCTGAGTTCTGCCGCGAAATATCTGGATATTGTGTTGGAAATATTCGGATATTGATATCCGGATATGGGGATCTGAATATCCGGATATGGATATCCGGATATTGGCTGTGAGATATCCGGATATTGATATTCGGATATGCCCCCGACAGATATCCATATATTATGGGATTTCGAAGAACAGTAGCTGCACTGTTCATACAGTAGGCTATTGGAGGTTTGTGAACCCTAGATTGATGAAGTTGAACTTCTGTAATAAATGAACTAAGTCAGAGTCAAGTGATTAAGGGCTTATGGTTTGGTAAGAAGCCTTAAGACGTAAAGCGTAAAAGGAAAGGCGTTGTCTTTATGTTGTATGCTTGTAGAGTTGAATATTGATATACTATTGGTCCATAACAGATTGTGATTCTGCTGTGTTTGGACTTTGAACTTGTGGACTCTTGGATTGGATAGTTAGCTTAAGAAGGTAAGCTTTTATGTCCTCAGTTTAGCCATTGTGTAGTTCCATCATACTCCATGGGGGAATGGTTATATGCATGCTGTGTTACATGATTTAATATATTGAAATGCTTTTGAGCTGATATGTGCAATGGTTTATAATATGCATGTGGTGTTCCACCTATACGGTAAGCTTGAATATGTGGTACATACAAGATGGTGAGACTGGGTAGAGGTGCAAGCGATGTTCCTTGTACTATAATTATGGATAATAGACGTATTCCTGCATTCTCTGGCCAGTAGATTATTGTATTGACACACATGACATGATTATCTACTGCATTGCACTATTTTGAAAATGATATTGTTAAACTGTTTTGGAACTTATATTGCACATCTAAGTGAGCTTGGGGTGGAAGATCCTTGAGGATCCCTTGCCTTACTGAGATTTCTTGTTTAGAGATCTCACCCCACGTTTGGGGAATGCTTATTTCAGGTTCAGGTAGTATAGGGACTGATGCCTCTGGCGGCAGGAGGCCAGAGCTTAGTTGATGATTATTGCTGTTATATTTATGCTGGCATGACTGGATTGGATGCTGTTTATGTTTTCTGATTTATGATTATTGAGTTAAGACTTATGTTGGGCTTTGTTGCCTTATTTGGGTGAGCATGGGAGTTGTCCATGCCACTATATTGTTAGTACTTTTAGCTTGAGTTGTATAAACTGCTAGTTGGTCCGGTCTACGTGTTGTAGTTCCGTGACTAGAGACATACTTATGTTATTTTAATTAATGAGGTATTTCAGTTAGCTGTCTTTTACAATCTACACACAGGAAATGTTTTATTAATTAATTTATTAAGCAAGTTGATAATGATAATGACGTCATAATTGAAAAGAAAAAGATATTCCGCATTTTTGATTAAGCGCAGCTTAATACGATAACATGATAACATTACCGGATATATACGGGGTGTTACAGTTTGAACGTTGTAAAACATTAAACCTGATTTCCAAATTAAACATATAAATTAACTACAATACTTGTAAAAGAAAATGAAACGTTCAATATATAAAGATACATACTGGCATCCATAGTGCATCCCACGCTGGGGAGGAGAAGGAGGAACGAGGAGCAATAGGTGGAAATCTGATCCACGCCCAGATTTGAAGAAGAATGTGGCACCCACCCATGTCTGATCTGTTTGGGTCTGTACACTCGTACAACTACCTAAACAAATGCACAAGAACTGCAGATCCCCATCTATATCGCCTAATCTCCTTAAACCCCCCTCCGAGCAATGGAAATAATCTACATCCAATATTGCTACCTCCTGATCTGTCGCATAGGATCCAGCACCCACACATACGCGCAATGTGCGCCCTCATGAAAAAAAATATCACGCTCATGATCCCCAGCAACCTGACCCCAATGAGTATATAACCGATCAAAGTACGAAATTCGTATATCACCGCCAGTATGGAGCTCACTGGCCAAAGGCCTAGCACCAAAAACTGCCGAGCAATCCTCTAATGTAGATCCGGTAACTACTTGCCTGTCAGTAGGAATTCCCAATATAGTCGTCACATCCTGCAAGGTGATAATCATATCGCCCTGTGTCATGTGAAATGTATGTGTCTCTGGTCTCCACCTCTCGACTAAAGCACTGATAAGGGCAGTATCAATATGAAATACATAAGACAATTATCACATCAATTCACTTATTTAGAATGATTATAATCAAGCACAATATAATACCATAAACCCTAAAATACACCTGAATATGTTGCATGCGTGCGACATGTATAAATCTGGCTGTGTGAGGTAACAAGCGACCACGAAATATCGTTGGGAGCTGGCCCCCCTTGCATTTTACTGCGTCGAGTCTTAAGCGAATGAACATGCTCATCATTCCACACGCGTTGTGAAACATGCGAGCTCTGAGTCCTCCTCCGGAGTACCTCCCACCTGTACGGCCCAGGTATGACATACATGCTGGGATCGGTAGGCTCGGCCTCATTATCAAATGACCGAGGAGACTTCGATATTGCCTAGTATAAGATTTTAAATTAATTAAAGAGTAAATACCCTTTTTGGTCCTCAGCAAATTTCACGAAGCCCGTTTTAGTCCCTAGCAAATAAAAAGGCCCATCATGGTCCTTAAAAAATTCAAAATGGACCCATTTTAATCCTTTTGAGGACTAATATGGCTCTTTTTTGAATTTGTGAGGGACCACGATTTCAACTAAATGGGTCCATTTTGAATTTCTTAGGGACCACGATGGACCTTTTTATTTTCTAGGGACTAAAAAGGGCTTCGTGAAATTTGCTGAGGACCAAAAAGGCTATTTACTCTTAATTAAATTATAAATAATATTTTTACTAACATATGCATATATAATAATTCCAAATAATTGTTCTAGGTCACTAATCATAACCTAAGTCACTATCAATTTTCTAAGTCACACAAATATTTCTTAAGAAACTACCAAATTAATTCCCAAGTCACTAATAAATTTCTAGGTCACGAACAGTTTTCTAAGTCACTAACATATTCCTAATTCACTAAAAAATTCCTAGGTCGCTAACAATTTAATATGTCACTAGTAATATATATATATATATATATATATATATATATATATATATATATATTGTTATAACTGAAACATATAGAAAGCAGATATTAAAACTTACTTTACGGATGGAGCTTTGCTGCGCAGTTCCCTGAAGAAGAGAGAGCTAGAGCACCTAGAGAGAAGTTAGAAAGAGGGAGTGAAATGGTAAAAAGTGAAAAAGAGGGGGTATATATAGGCTAACTAGCTCACGCCTAGCTTAGGCGTGAGTGGTCATGCCAAAATGGGGCGTGAAGCCCGTGAAACTCACGCCTGAGTTAGGCGTGACTGGTCATGCCCAATCAGGGCATGACATCTTGCAATATTTTCATAAATAGTATGAAAATAGCTATATATTCGTAATTATTTATTAAAATTGCAATATTTTAATATTTTGCCCCTATATATAGCAAAATCATTTTGTTTTACATTGCGGTGTTAGCTAATCATAAAGCAATGTCATAAGAAGTACTAAAACACTATATAGTGAAAAAAGAAAAAAGAAATCTAGGTATAAACCACAATAAAATATAGATGCATTAGATACAAGTAGGGTGAAAGTGGGCTAGGCTGGGCCGAGCTTTGTCCCGAAAAGCTCAAGCATATGCCAAAAAATTTCAATTTGATCTGGCCCGATAGCATAGTATGAGCCTAACTGTTAGCTTGGTCTGGCCTGGCGTGTTAGCCTATTAATTTTTAACTTTCAAGCAGAACATGAATCAACTTCACAAAATACTCATATTTTGTTGTTAAAAAAATCACAATTTCAACGTTCAAACAAAATCATGAATCATAACAACCACTTTATCACAATCTGCATTTAAGGCACTTTCAGAAGCAAGATGCTGAAACTAAATACCATATATTTCATTAGATCCAACAAATCAATCCATACTAAGTAAATTAAAATAATTGCATGAATTCAACAAATGTATCATGATGCTTGTAGTAGCCAAAAACTTCTCGTCATCTTCTCTCCCCTGCAAATACAATTCCAATGTTACATAAGTTGGCAAACTGTTTGTACATGTAGAAAACAAAAAACAAGATTAAAGAATAGAAAGAAAAAAAGATTATAAACAAAAAACAGTTTTATACCTTTTGTTTTTTCTTCAAACCATACTTATTACGTAGTCAATCTCCACTATATATTAAAGCTTGGATGGTATATTCAGTCAAGCTAGAACAATAGCATCAATAACTCTTCTTCCAGAACTAAATGTTGATTTTGATGCTACTGTAGAGATTGGTACAGATCTTATGCCACTCCCAAAGGTAGTATTGGTGGGAGATCGAGCATAAGTCCTTCCACCACCTACTCAGCTCACATGCACCAACTGAACTATCATCATTTTGTACCACCATGAATAATATTATTTTATTTTATTTAAAATAAATAATAAGATATAGACCGGCCTGTAGGATTATAGGTCCGACATGTAAAAAGAAGCCTATGGTTTGTTTTCTAAATAGACTTTTTTAAAAGTTCGGGTTGGACTATATATAATAGACCGAGCCTGGCCTGATATAGGCTAAGCCGTAGGCCTCTGAAGACTAGTCCGACCCACTTTCACCCTTAGTTGCCACCTCTGAAACACGGACACGCAATTTTGGGGAAAAAATGCGTGTCCGACAAGTTTCCGACACGGACACGTTCGGACACGCGTCCGACATGCAGTAGACTTTTTGGGACACGTTGACTAGGGGGACACGTGAATTTGACCAAATCCGACACGTAGTCAACGTATGTGGACACGTTTTGGGACACATTTTGACATTTGTTTTGTAAAAATAAAATAAAATTACAATTAAAATAAAAATAAAAAATATTTAATAAAATTTAAAAAGTCTAGAATTGGAACCCTATCGTTTATTCCTTTCTCCCTTTCTCGTTTGTTGACGGCTTGACGCTGGAAGTGGAGGCTATTGCTGGTCGTTCTCATCTCCGGTGAGTCTCTTTCAATTCTCAAATCTCCGGTCATCTTCTCTGTCGTCTACATCTCCCGTGGAAGTTGTGTTTACTTTAGTTATATTTATTTAGTTTTCCTTTTTTAGTTATTCGAGAGTCTTTGTGGATTTGTAACTCTTCAATCATGAAAATGGAGTTCTCTCCTCTTCTTCCCGAAGGTAGTAAGCCTGCTTCAGCTTGAACAACACCCTTCATGGCTTGAAAATTCTTTATGTAGACTTTCAGTTTTAGGCCCCTGAAGTTATTGCTTAGGTTTTTTTTATTTATTAAATGACTGAATTAATGCTTGGGTATTTTTTTTTTAACGACATAAGTACATAACTCTCTTTGTTGTTACTTTATGGTAACTGGTAACCGTGGGGTGGACTGAATTAATGTTTGGGTTTTTTTTTATTAAATGACATAATTATTGCTTGAGGTTTTTTTTAACGACATAACTCTCTTTGCTGTTACTTAGTTTGTGTTAAACTGTTAACCGTGGGGGTGGACTGAATTAATGCTTGGGTATTTTTTTTATTAACTTTTATCCTAAACAGCTTTCAACTAGTAACTCTTATGGTGCATCTGGGAAGCATTTAGGCAGAGGATTTTATTCTTTATTCTTTGTAAGTTATGCATAAGGCTACTCAAGCAATTTTTGCCCTGTTCGTGGATATTTATAGTATCTATTCAACATATGCAGCTTTAAGTTAGGAATTTCACTTAATGTAGGTTTAACGTTACATGTATTGTCTACAATCTACATAATGTTTTGAGCCATTCAATTCAACGGGGAACTGTGTTTGGGGAATTTATGACACATGGATCGTCTCTTGGATTCTGTCATGCCATCGTGTCTTAGCCTCTAAGGTTAGACAATTTAGAACCAAAGCTTTTGTTTTTTCTACTTGAGATCTTTCCATGTTCGATTTTTTTAACTCCATAATTCCTTTATTTCCAAACCTGCTAAACTCAAAACCACTCGTTCATGATTTATTAATAAGGGTCGAAAACATCAATACATTGAAATCACTTTCTGAATATGCTGATCACAGCCTCGAAAAGCCCCAACTTCAATCCTTGGTTGCATTTTTTGTAGTCCCTCAACTGAACATCTATTATTGTAAACAGACCTGCACTATATCTGATGTTTTTTGTTTGACACAGTTATAGAATTACAAGATGGATCATTCAAGTTCTGCCTCTGCCAGTGCCAGTAATAGTGCCACTGCTGCTACTAGTGCTTCTGATGCCAATGAATTATTAGATAAACCCTTATGGAAATATGTTACCAAAATAGATGCTATAGTGGAAGGAGGAGGAAATTTATCTTGGATGTGCGACTTTTGTAAAAAAAATTATAAAAGTTCATATACCAGAGTGAGAGCTCATTTGTTGAAACTATCAGGTAAAGGAATTGGGAAATGCTTAATGGTGCAAAATAGAGATCTGATAGAGATGGAGAAATTAGAACAAGAAGCTGACAACAGAAAGCAATCTAATGCACCCAGAAATGTACCTTTACCTCCTTCTAGCTCTTCCACGTGCCCAAAAAAAAGAAAAACTACAGGTTCTCTTGAGATGGCATTTAATGTTGGGGAGCGAGAAGAATTAAATTATCTGATTGCTAGAATGTTTTATTCAGCAGGATTGCCATTCAATTTGGCAAAGAACCCTTACTTCCAAGCTTCGTATACTTATGCAGCAAATCATAATATTGGAGGTTATTTGCCACCGGGATATAACTCACTGCGAACCACTCTGTTGCAAAAGGAGAAAGAAAATATTGATAAGTTGTGTGAACCTATTCGAGAGTCTTGGACTCATAAAGGGGTGAGTATTGTAAGTGATGGGTGGAGTGATTCACAAAGGAGGCCACTCATTAATTTCATGGCAGTATCTAATGGTAAAGCAATGTTTTTAACATCAGTTGATTGCTCAGGGGAGATTAAGGATAAAAATTTCATTTTCAGGTTGTTTGTTTGAACTTTTGTATTCTATTTAAGTGTTTATTTGCTAGAGGGAGACTAATGATAAAAATTTCATTTTCAGGTTGCTAAAGGAAGTTATTCAAGAAGTAGGAGAGACAAATGTGGTTCAAGTAATCACAGATAATGCTGCAAATTGTAAGGGAGCATGGCAACTTATTGAGCAGGAATTCCCAACTATTACTTGGACACCGTGTGTTGTTCACACATTGAATTTGGCTGTGAAAAATATTTGTGCTGCAAAGAATGTGGAGAGCAATCAAATAACGTTTGAGGAATGTAGCTGGATTTCTGATATTGTAGGTGATGTTGCTGCAATAAAGCATTTCATTATGAATCATTCTATGAGATTGGCCATCTTTAATGAGTTTGTGAAAGTTGCTTTCTATTGCTGATACTCGTTTTGCTTCGATGATTGTGATGCTGAAGAGATTCAAGTTAATAAAGAGCGGACTCCAAAATATGGTGATAAGTGAAAAATGGAATATTTATAGAGATGATAATCTTGGGAGGGCCAGACATGTGAAGGAAAAATTATTGGATGATTGTTTTTGGGATTCAATTGATTACATATTTTCCTTCACTGCTCCTATTTATGATATGATCAGAGCTTGTGACACTGATAGAGCTTGTCTTCACTTGATATATGATATGTGGGATGCAATGATTGTGAAAGTGAAGAAAGCTATATACCATAAAGAGGGGAAGAGGATGGAAGAGAGCTCCTCTTTTTATGATGTGGTGCATCGCATTCTTGTGGATCGTTGGACAAAAAACTCAACTCCACTACACTGTTTGGCACATGCTTTGAATCCTAAGTAAGTTTTTAAATATGATTCAGTTTAAATTAATACTCTTGATATAATTTGACAACTTGTTGATTTTTTTTGCTTCTCTCTTAGATTCTAGTCGAGTTCCTCCACACATGGATTTAGAGCTTACTCAAGAGCGACAAAAATGTTTAAGGAGATTCTTTCCTAGCATGGAGGACCGAAGCCGGATTAGTTTGGAGTATGCAGATTTTATTAGCAATAGTGGAACCTTTGGCGATTTTGATGCCATCAATACTCAATACACTATGGATCCGAAATCTTGGTGGCTACTTTATGGTACCTTTACACCGATGCTTCAAAAAATAGCATTGAGACTTGTGCAACAACCCTCCTCTTCATCATGTGCTGAATGCAATTGGAGTACTTATTCTTTTGTGCATTCCATCAAGAGGAATAAAATCACTCCAAAACGTGCTGAAGACTTGGTTTATGTGCATAGCAATCTTCGACTCTTATCAAGAAAGACTCCTAGTTATGCACAAGGAGCAAATCAAATGTGGGATATTGCTGGTGATACATTCGATTCACTTGATGATATTGGAGATCTTCAATTTGCTAGCCTTTCACTTGATGAGCCAAAGATAGAGGCCATGATTATTCAAGATGGAGATGAAAATAATTGAACTGTGTGTAATCATAAGTAAAATAATTTTTCTACACTCTTGGGATGTTCTATTATTATTTTTTAATATTTATGTTATGAAATTTGAATATTTGATTAGTATGAGTTATTATGAGTTGCTATATGTATTAAATGTAAATTATATTATATATATTAAAAATATTATTTAATATCAAAACGTGTCCCAACGTGTCCAAATTTAGCATTTTTTAGAATTAACATGTCGAAGTGTCGTGTCGTGTCCCGTGTCCCGTGTCCGTGTCCGTGCATCATAGGTTGCCACCCACTAAGCTTATTCGAGACTTTTTCTGGGAATGTTGAGTTAATTCTACTGATGCTATAAAAAAATAAAAATATCATATATCAGATGATATTTTCATTTGAGAATCTCATGTGTAAAATGGAATGATGGGAAAAAAATTTCCTGAGACTATTTTCAATTTTCTCATATCAAATATTGGAAATAAATTTATCCTATCCCATTTTTTTAAGATTTCTAGAAAAATTCTCATACCAAACAACGCTTAATAAAAAAAAATAGAAGGTAAAAGAATCACAATCCTTCGTCAATCTAACACTAATAGTCCATCATGCATTAGTTGACCCTGACCCACTAAATTATTTTCCTCCTAATTTCAAAAAAATAAAAATAAAATAAAACTCAACCTGCATCACCCAAATCAAAAGTACCAAAGGCATTTGCGGTAGGTTTCACAAATTACGTCAAAAGAGTCATTCCTGTCGCAAAAGTCCAACTCAGTTTTCATTCGTTCACGAGCTCCTTCAATCAGAAGCAAAGCATATCGTTGTTTCCATTCAAGACGACGACCGCCAATAGCTGGTTTTTTTCTATTGAGATAAATTACATGAATCTATTCATCATCAATGTCTCCACCTTTTTTAAAAGATTACCCTTAACCCTGATAACCCCTTAACCATGCCGCTTTTCCATCTCGACCAAGCACCAAACTGTCTGGCAATGGGATGTTATTTTAGATTATATTTTTTTAAATGAGTGACCCGATTTCTTGTGAACCAACTGGGTCGACAATGATTTTTTTGAAAAATCAATTGAGGGAAACTGGTTCCTAAAGACATGGTCGGTTCATGGCTTTCTGAGTTGACCGGACTATTTCAAGGCAATTTTTATAACACTATATATATATATATATATATATATATATATATATATATATATATATAGATAAAATTATTTCTGCAGCCGCTTTATATACAGCAACTACAGGTGTATGGTTATGATTTCTCACATTTAATGCTTTCATCCTTTGTATGGTTATGATTCCTCGCATTTAATGCTCTCAAGTATATATATGGCAAGTATTTGATTGCTGCACGTACAACAACTGCAGAAATGTAAACCCTATATATATATATATATATATATATATATATATATAGGGTTCTCTTTTTCTACAGTCAATGTAGATAATTTATCTACAGTAAGTCCAAAACGACGTCGTTTTGAGGCGAAAATCAAGGTATTTTTGTAATTATAACTTATTTCAGGGTTATAATAGTCTTTTTCATTATAATTTTTTAATTTTTCAACCTAAAACGACATCGTTTTGAGAGCGAATGTAGATAACTTATCTACATTTACTTTACAAACATTAAAGCCATATATATATATATATATATATATAAGATCTGGATCCTCTCATGTGAAAATTCACATGAACATGTCATGTGGAGAATCATAACCATACAAAGGTGGATCAATGGTAATAAAGGAGGAGAGAGAAAAAAATGTTAAAATAGATAGTTACTCATAACCGTTGATTTACCTTTGTATGGTTGTGATCTTCCCACATGACCATATCATGTTTTTTTTTTTCCACATGAGAGGATCCATTTCCATATATATATATATATATATATATATATATATATATATATATATATATATATATATGATAAAATCATTTCCACAACTGCTTTACGTACAACAATGACAGATGTATGGTTATGATTCTCCACATTTAATGTTTTCATCCTTTGTATGATTATGATTCCCTGTATTTAATGCTTTCAAGTATATATACGGCAAGTATTTGATTGTTGTACGTACAACAGCGGCAGAAATGTAAACTCCTATATATATATATATATAATCTACTTTCGTTTACAATTTCTTACAACCATATCTTAACCGTTGATTTCCGTCAATCAACGATTATTATTTTCGTAAATTAAACTTATTAATTAATTATTAAATCACAATAAAAGATAATCGTTGATTGGTGAAAATTAACTGTTAAAATATAATTGTAAGAAGTTGTAAACGAAGATAGGTTCTAAGTATAATCTTCCTCATACATATATATATATATATGGTAAAATCATTTCTGCAGCCGCTTAACATACAACAATGACAGATGTATAGTTATAATTCTCCACATTTAATGCTTTTATTCTTTATATGGTTATGATTTCCCACATTTAATGCTTTCAAGTATATATATGGCAAGTATTTGATTGCTACTCGTACAGCAACTGCAGAAATGTAAATCCATATATATATATATATATATATATATATATATATATATATATATATATATATATATTGGGCTTATCGTGTCTGAAGCTGCTTGAGATAATCTTATCTCTGGCTAGTAAATCATAACCTATGATGCACGGACACGGGACACGACACACTGACACATTAATTTTGAAAAATGTCATATTTCGACACGTTGGGACACGTTTTGATATTAAATAAAAAATTTAATATATAATATAATTTATATTTAATACATAAGAGTCCATAATAAGTTATATAACCAATCAAATATTTAAATTTCATAATATAAATATAAATATAAATAATTTTTCGTACTTTGTTAGTTTTTCATGTCAAATTTCATAAGAGCAAAAAATTAATTTACAAATTATTTCTTTTATATTTAGTTAACAAAATAAAATTAAGATTTAAAAAAAAAAAACGTGTCCGAGCGTGTCCCAACGTTGACCGCGTGTCGGAAAAAGTTGACTGCGTGTCGAAAAATGTGTCGGAACGTGTCGGAGAGTTGACCACGTGTCCTCAAATGTTGACCGCGTGTCCGTGTCGGACACGTGTCCGACACGCAATTTTTTTTAAAAGTAACGTGTCCGTGCTTTGGAGATCATAACTATACAAAGATGGATCAATGGTGATAAAGGAAGAGAGAGAAAAAGAGAATCATAACCCTTCAAAGGTGAATCAATTAATATAAATAAGGGAATAACATCTGTCATTTTAAAGGATATAAGCTTATATCATTTTAGATCTTAATCGTTGATTTCCGTCTATCAACGGTTATAATTTATTGGATTAAAATTATTAATTAATTAATAATAAATTTGGCCCATTAAGTTTGACCCAATAGATTATAATCGTTGATGGACGAAAATCACCAGTTAGGATCTAAAATGATATAAGTTTATATCCTTTAAAATGATAGATGTTTTTCCTTATAAATAAATAAATAAAACGACATAATTTTGAGTAGCCGAAAATAAACTTATCTCAAACTGCTTGAGAAATATTATATATATATATATATATATATATATATATATATATATAAAGGGAATTATCTTCTCCTATTGTGGGAAGGCAAATGGTCTAAAACCGGAAAGACAATAAATTTAGATAATAAAAAATGTGGGAAGAGTAGGAATATGTGTGCAAATTTTTTATCTTTGGAGACCTTTCGGCTCGAATACAGGCATGATTTTTAAAGGACTGCACGGTGTACATACGTCACACATTCAAGGAAGGTGAACTCTGTGTCACCGTGCGGACTTGGAGTTGCTTTCCAACTATCCCCTAAATCAAGTGGATGCTGAAGATTTCTATAGCTTCCCTTCCCCAATCCCCCCGTGTTATTTTTTAGTCATTGTTTCGGGGTTTACCTTCTTCTTTTTTTAATAAATTATCGATATTCAATTGTCAATGGGTGCTGATTAATTCGATTTATCAAATTTCTAACACAGTTACATATACTAGTTTCAAACACGAAATAATTAGTTAAGTTGAATCAATGTCGCGACAGTTAATTCATGTAGTTGGAGGTTATCCCTTTTCTTTAAAATTTTTTGTGAAGAACTTATATTATGTGGTGATTAATAATACTAATGACCATATAATATGTATTCTCATATTGATCACTAATTAAACACCACATACATTACATACAAATCATTAATTATTTAAACATTCATCACGGGTAAAAAACGGTATGTAAAATTCACAACAATTATCATTTTAGTTATGATACAAAATCATGTCGTTGTCTCTAGAGTCATGATGAACTTTCACATCTAATATGGACCTTTTCATTTACGAAAAAATCTAATATACTATCGTTATATTTATATTCATCAGTAGAAGTATAACATATTAGTTGATATACTTTTTGAAGAGAGAGAAAAATAATTTTAATATTATAATTATGTATTTTTAAAGTACATAATTTACAATTTCATTTTGAAAGAAAATCATATCCAATACTTAATGCAATGGTAGTACCAAAAATATTCTCTTCATTTACGGCCTATAAATTAAAATTCTATACACTAGTGATGATGAAATGATTTATGTCTTGATTAAAAAAAAATACATTTATGTCTTAATCTTTAAAAAATTCTTAAAAGAGCAATGTTATTCGGCAGGAAGTCATTTTAATTTTCAGAAATAGTAAGTGTAGAATTACCTTTTTAGTTATTATTCAAAACCATGTCATTGTCTATGCGGTCATGATAAGCTTTCTTATCTTTTCGAGTGTATTCTCTTCTGTCCTTTTTATTTGTGGCCCATAAATTAAAGTTCATCCTCTAGTGCCCACCGAAAAAACAGTTCATCCACTAGTGATAATGAAATCATTTATGGGCTTTTCGACAGAATTAGGTCGTTTTCCAAAAAAAATTGATTGAATTAAACTCTAGTCAAATTTATTATCAGACAAATGTTGAGAGATGTGATATTTGACATACCGCGCCTAAACATGATAGTCTACATGTCGCGTATAGTATTGACAAGAGACATAATATCTGACATATTATGTCTAAACGTAATTGTCGCACTATCATGTTTAGTGTAACAATAAACATAAAATACAATTTTATATACCACATGGATAAATTACATTAAACACATTAGATAGACTAACACGTTTAAATATGGCATATCAAGTGTCACGTCTCTTGTCAATACTAAATGTGGCAGGTAGATTACCACATCTAGACGCAATAGCCAGATGCCACGTCTCTCTGTTTTAATCTGGTAATAAGTTTGATCAAAAATTTAATCTGATCAAACTTTTTGAAAAACTAACTAATACTGTCAAAAACCATCATTTATTAGAAGACAATCTTGACACTACTGAAATCAAAGGCATTAATACAGAATACAATTCATTCAAGTCTTAGGTGTTATTAGAACTGTCTTACTTTATATTATTAAATACGTATTACCAACTATAAGTCATTCCCAACTGTACCGTCCCATACCAGCACATGCTCTGGAATCTCTCTCTTTCGGGTGCTGATTCGATTCATTCATGTACCCCGTCGCTGGAAGCCTGCCAAGAGCCGCTCCTTATCCATGCCCTTTCGCACCGGCGATCACTTCTTGCCCTCGTCAGTGCCCGAGAAGTTACATGCCCACCAGCTTCCGCCAAGTTCGTCCTCGAACCACACCGTACTGGAAGAGATGCCCTGCTTTGATACCACTTGTAACGCCCGGCCGCTTCAAGAATCAATGACTATCCCCACATACTAACACGAGACTTTTCAGTGTGTTTTTTCTCACTCGCAAACTTCCTGGGAAAACTTTCAAGGAGGTCACCCATCCCAGAATTGCTCCAAGTCAAGCACGCTTAACTATGGAGTTCTTTCGTTCCGGGCTACCGAAAAGAAGATGCATCTTGTTAGTATAGGTAATACCAATTAATTCTTATAAGTCATTCCCAACTGTACCGCCCATACCAGCACAGGCTCTGGAATCCCTCTCTTTCGGGTGCTGATTCGATTCATTCATGTACCCCCGTCGCTGGAAGCCTGCCAAGAGCCGCTCCTTATCCATGCCCTTTCGCACCGGCGATCACTTCCTTCCTTCGTCAGTGTCCGAGAAGTTACATGCCCACCAGCTTCCGCCAGGTTCGTCCTCGAACCACACCGTACTGGAAGAGAGGCCCTGCTTTGATATCACGTGTAACGCTCGGTCGCTTCAAGAATCAATGACTATCCCCACATACTAACACGAGACTTTGTAGTGTGCTTTTTCCTCACTCGCACACTTCCTGGGAAAACTTTCCAGGAGGTCACCCATCCCAGAATTGCTCCAAGTCAAGCACACTTAACTATGGAGTTTTTTCGTTCCGGGCTACCGAAAAGAAGATGCATCTTGTTAGTATAGGTAGTATCAATTAATTCTTATAAGTCATTCTCAACTGTACCGTCCCATTCCAGCACAGGTTCTGGAATCCATCTCTTTCAGGTGCTGATTCGGTTCATTCATGTACCCCGTCGCTAGAAGCCTCCCAAGAGCTGCTCCTTGTCCATGCCCTTTCGCACCGGCGATCACTTCCTGCCCTCGTCAGCGCCCAAGATGTTACAATCTACATTGAAATGACATGTGTCACATTCTCTTAATTTATTATTCTGCAAATTGCTCAAATATTGAAGCTAAAAATTAATTATTGCAGAAGAGTATACTACTAATAAATAAAATTACAAAAAGAAAAATCAAAACGAGTTCTACATTTTTTTTGACAAAATAAAATTAATTTTGATTTTTTTTTACAAAATGCATGACCTAACTGGGTCATGAGTTACTAGTTTTGGCCGCATTTTGACCAAATCTAATACATGGCCGAGTTACTAGTTTTGGCCGAATTTTGACCAAATCTAATACGTGACTGATTCAATACTTAATTCGAACCGATCTGATGATTAATTTGCCGAATTTCGGGTCGACCCATCTGACCTCCAACCTTTACTCATTTAAAAAATTGAAAAAAAAAAAACTTTTGGCCACTGATCGGAATGATGAATGGTAGGTCAACCACTACAATAATTTCACAAAACAACCGTACTTTATGTCATAAATTTCTCTTTCTCTTTTATCTCTTCCCACCACAAACACTTTCCCTTCACTCACCACAGACATTCTAATGGCAACAACCGAAGAAACCGAACCAACATGGCCACAACTTTTGGGAAGCAACAACTGGGAAGGGCTCTTGAACCCTCTTAACCTCAACCTCCGAAACCTTATTCTCCGTTGTGGTGACTTCATCCAAGCCACCTACGACGCCTTTATCAACGACCAAAACTCCATCTATTGCGGTTCAAGCCGCTTCGGCAAAACCTCCTTCTTCCACAAGGTCATGCTCGAAAACCCAACACACTACACCGTCACCTCATTCCTCTACGCCACCGCACGTGTCTCCGTCCCAGAAGCCTTCGTCCTCCACTCGTTGTCACGTGAGTCATGGGACCGCGAGTCCAACTGGATCGGCTACATCGCCGTCACCTCCGACGAAGTCACCGAAGCTTTAGGCCGCCGTGAAATTTACGTCGCGTGGCGCGGCACAACCAGAGATTTCGAATGGATCAACGTGCTTGGTGCTGCTCCTGAATCAGCAAAAGGGTTATTGAGTACTAAAAGCCTCAACGAGTTCAACAAGGGTAACGGTAATAGTAATAACAGTAGTAGCAGCGATGATGATGAGGATGATGAGAGAATGCCAAAAGTGATGAGGGGATGGTTAACAATCTACACCTCAGATGACCCAAAATCTTCTTTTACGAAAACAAGTGCGAGAACACAGGTTTTGAACAAGGTGAAGGGTTTGTTAGAGGTTTACAAGGATGAGAATCCTAGTGTGGTGTTAGTGGGGCATAGTCTTGGTGCGAGTTTATCAATTTTGTGTGCTTTTGATTTGGTGGAAAATGGGGTCATTGATGTTCCTGTTGCTGCTATTGTATTTGGGTCTCCTCAAGTGGGGAACAAGGCTTTCAATGAGAGGTTAAACAAATTTCATAATTTGAATGTTTTGCATGTGAGGAATAAGATTGATTTAATACCACATTATCCGGGGAGGTTATTGGGGTATAAATATACGGGTGTGGAGTTGGAGATTGATACAAGAAAATCGCCGAGTTTGAAGCATTCGACGAAAACGGATGATTTGCATAACTTGCAGGGTATGTTGCATGTGGTGGCAGGGTGGAATGGGGCTGATGGGGAATTTGAGATGAAGGTGAAGAGAAGCTTGGCTTTGGTGAATAAATCGTGTGATTTCTTGAAGGATGAATGTCACGTGCCTGGGTCATGGTGGGTGGAGAAGAATAAAGGTATGGTGCGTAGGGATGATGGTGAGTGGGTTTTGGATGATCCCGATGATGAGGACCTCCCTGTGCCTGAAGATTGATTGGGTGGGAGATCACGGTATCATGCTTTATTTTTATTTTTATTTTGTCCGTTGTGTTTGTAACTCTTTTTTATTCTCTGTATCTCTGTATGTGACTCGAATAATAAACATTTGCATCGTTTGGAAGGTTTTTTTTTTTTTTTGTTACAGTTATTGTATTTTAGGGATCTAACGTTTGAGTTTTATAAGAGTTATGTTATAGGAAGAATAATTGTGTTATGTTATAGAGATTCGTTTTGTGTACTGTAGTTTTTTTTCTTCAAAACTGATTCCACAAAATGTTGTGTGTAGGAAACTTTGTGTAGTCATGTTAAATGATAAATGCAAAGCCCTTAATGTTTTTCTTATAAATTAAAAATAAAATCATTTTCTTAAGAGTGGATAAGTTTATTTTTTTTCATTTTTTTTTCATTTTTTGATATAAATTCCCCGATTCATTGATTATCAACTAATCCAATTCGAGTAATATTAGACCATTAATGGAGGCAGCTCTTCTGATATCATTTTCCCGGTTCCAAAACTCGAACTTAAAACTTTTAGTTAAAGGAGATAAGTTTCTTATTATTGATAACACTCTTTTTTCACATGGCCCACCAGCCAGGTGTTTAGCACTAGTTAATAAGTTATGCCCTGGATGACGAGTGAGATTATTCTTTTCTTTCTTGTCTCTCTTCATATTGCTCCATCTGCTCAAATATGTCATTCATGAGATAATTTATCTTCACCTTGTGGAAGAATACAAAAAGATTTTTTAAGCAAAATTAACCGCAACATTAATCAAACAATCCTGACACAAATATATTTTCTCAATTATCTGCAAATGGAAGAAAATATTTGTCATTGTGTTATTTTAAGTGAAACTATTTTGTTTTGGTGCATGTTTAGTAAATTTTTATATTCTTTTCTCCATAAAATGAGGAGGATTGAGAAATTGAGAGTTTTGTAGCGGAGAAAGAAAATAAAAAATCATCAAAACACAATAATTTTATTTATTATTTAAAATGATAAATATTTTTTTTTTAAAATTAAATATGCCTTTTTTATGGAGCACAAGGATGCAGTCAATTCATTCCTTAAGTCACGGATTCAATGATTTCAATGGATTTTCAAACAATATTACCCCAAGAAAATGGGTGGGGTGGAGGTGGGGGTGGTTCCTAATTTTTTGTTCTCCAACTAAGTGTTATTAAATGTGACTTGAATCGGTTGGGTCGACCCAAAATCTGATAAACCGGTCATCTTATTAATTCGAGTCAAGTATCAGACTTGTTATATATCAGGTAAAAATTGATTCGAACTGGTCAGATTTTATCAAAATCAATGATCCGGTCGGGTCATCAAAACCGCCAGGTTATGCTTTTTTATATTAAAAAAAATCAAAAATCAAAGTTGTCTCATTTTGTCTTAAAAAAGTGTGGAACTCCTTTCAAATTTTTTGTAGTTTTGTTTGCTTGTATACTCTCCTAAAGTGATCTTAAATTTAAGCTTCAAAGACTTAATTTGTGAAACAGTAGATTAAGAGAAGGTGACATGTTGATTCCTTACAAATTTCTTTTTATAGGAAGAGTTGTTTGTAAATGCCTTATAATTATTAAACATAGTTAGTTGATTATTAAACATAGTTAGTTGATGATATTTGGTAGAGAAATTATATGTGATTACCTGATACTTAATTTTTTTTTCATTATTTATTTTTTTTACAATATATTATATGTGGTTACCATATATGACTTTCTTTCATCCCTACAAAAACCTATATATATTTGAAGCGTTGCATAATAACATTTTACATGCATTTGAGTATTTTTATGTATAAAATATAGGTTTCTTGTACTAACTCGGGTCATGCGGTTCAACTGATGGGACACCAGTTGAACGAGTGACCCAATAACCTAATACCCTACTCGGGTCTAGAACATTGGTCCAAATACTACCTCCTTCCACATCATGAAATCATTTAAAAAAAATCAAAATTCAAAGTTTTCTCATCTTGTTTTAAAAAAATTTGAAACTCCTTTAATTTTTTTTTGCACTCGGTGCATATTTTATCAAATATAAAAAAGTACCATATTCGACTACCCAAAAAAAAGTAACATATTCGTGTCTTTATATGACTATTTCCTCTTTCATTCCTTTTTCTGCTTTTTGGTAAGAAAGCACCTACTTCCATAATAAAAATGTGTTTGGGAATCAGACGGTATATTCTTTTTAGGTATATCTATTTCTATTATAAAAATATAGAGATAACTGATAAGGCTCTAAATTTATAAAATTATAGAGATAACTGATAAGGCTCTTTTTAGGTAAATTTTTATAAAAATTTGGTGTTGCAACAAATTTTGACTCGAATACGGGCATGATTTTTAAAGGACTGCACGGTGCATATACGTCACACATTCAAGGAAGGTGAACTCTGTGACACCGTGCGGACTTGGAGTTGCTTTCCAACTATCCCCTAAATCAAGTGGATGCTGAAGATTTCTATAGCTTCCCCAATCCCCCCGTGTTATTTTTTAGTCATTGTTTCGGGTTACCTTTTTTTATTTATTTAATAAATTATCGATATCCAATTATCAATGGGTGCCAAGTAATTTGGTTTATCAAATTTTTAGCACAGTTATATATACTGGTTTCAAACTCGAGATAATTAGATAAGCTGAATCAATATTGCCAGTTAATTTATGTATTTGGTGATTAACCTTTTTCTTTAAAAAAAATTGTGAAGAACTTATATTTGTGGTGATTAAAAATATTAATTACCATATAATATATGGGGAAATAATTTCTATATTTATTGCAGAACTTAGAGAGAGAGAGAGAAATCATATTTTAATGAGAGAGAAAAACATAATGATAGAGAAATGAAAATTTGTGTCTGAGGCAGAAACATGATTTCCACATTAAATGCATAAATCATTTCCCCATAATATACATTATCATATTGACTACTAATTAAACACCACATACTAATCATTAATTATTTAAACATTCATCACGGGTAAAAAATGGTATGTAAAATTCACTAGAATTATCTTTTAGTTATGATACAAAATCATGTCATTGTCTCTAGAGTCATGATAAGTTTTACCATCGGTTCTGGATGGCCCGAGTACTGGGGTGGCCCAACTACACGGGCCCAACCCTTAGCTGGCCCAATCACTCAAGCCCAGCCTCAGCCTTGCTCCACGTCAGCCCTTAGGGCTGACATGGACCCCCTCAACCCCCAACGTAGCAGCAGGCCCAAGGCATACACCAAAATGTCTCATCTTGGAACGCTAACCGTTGAAGGCGACTACGACAGACACCACAAAGGGAAACTCCCCCTTTGCCCGGCGCTGACACCGCCAGAGTGCAGAGGGCGCAGCACTGCCACAATGGCAGCGCCAGCACGCCTAACACTGCATCATGGGAGTAAATCCCAAGGAGAGAGTTGACCTCTCCCTCACCAACCCGCACCATTTTCCTTATAAATAGCCCTCCTGGGCACACCTTACAGGTATCTTTTATGTACTGTTGTTATGCCCATTTACTTCCAAGTCATACTCCTGTTATTAATCTGCCATTGCTATTAGCTTGCTTGCCTCTTGGAACTATACCTTCTAGTCTGGTCTTTACCTCGCCTAGTGGTATAATCCATATAGCAACGTTACCCTAAAGGGTACACAGTGGGCTCACAGAACCTAACGGTACATTGGCGCCGTCTGTGGGAAACTATAAACTTCTATTCCCATTCTCCTACCAAAGATCCACAAGACGTGTTTTACGTTTTGGTAACAAACATGGTTGTCACAACCAGAAGAGCAGAACAAACCAGGGTCGTTACTCCTGACGGTCATGTACAAACAATACATTCAAACTCCCCGCCATCGATGCATTCAGCCCCAGCCGAGAGACCCCCCGGCGAGATGCTCCAGCCAGTACTACAATCCGTCGGTCCACAAATGCAAGCAGTCGAACCCAGGATAGCACAGTTGAACTATCACGCACCTATGCGTGAAAAGCAAGGAGAAAACTTGATACAAGACCAACCCCCGCCCCCAGGAGTTCGTTTTGGAATGCCTCTTCACACTTTTGCCCCACCAGTCATTCCCGTCCCACGAGCCCATCGTCCACTACCAGCCCAAAGTCTACCAGTAGCCACGCACAACGATTACCGAGCACCGATGGTCACCCCATTCCCTATGGGTCCATACACCCCTTTCCCTCAGCTTTACCCAACTGGTTTTCCTTTCCATGGTTACGCTGCCCAACCCCAGAATCCGACCGTTCCACTGCACCAAGTGTCCTATCAAAACCAGGGTCAACAACCGTATGCCGCCCAACAACCTTTCAATCACGCCCCAGCCCTCTCCTACTCCGTTGAAGCCCCTCAACCGCAAACAGACCGGCCCCCCGAAACAACAACCTACGAGTCACGCCAGCTCATACATCAGGGCGCAACAAACCCCTGACTGATATCCTCCGGTTAACTCCCATACCCCTTGGTTTCAAAGGACCCTCCAATATCACCACATATGTCGGAGATGCCGATCCTTTTGAATGGATCCTGAAGTTTGAGGCGACCATGACTCTTCATGGTGAAACCGACCTCCTCATGTGCAGGACCTTCCCCACGCTACTTGGGGGGCGAGCCTTAACATGGTACACCACTCTACCGACTGGGAGTATCGCTTCATGGGATGAGTTGGCGAGCAAGTTTCAGTCTCACTTTGCAACCAGTCGCCCTGTGCCGAAATCTGTCCACTCTCTAGAAAAGTACGCCAACAGCAAGGCGAGTCCCTCAGGTCCTTTTTAGACCGCTTTGATAAGGAGGCCCTACAAGTGGTGGGCCTGGACCCAAAAGTACAGGTACATATACTTCTTTCGGGTTTGCGGCAGGGTGCGTTCGCGTACGAGCTCGCCCGCCACGAGATCACTGACCTGGAAGAAGTCAAGAGGGTGGCCCAGGAGTACATGCGAATCGAAGAGTAAAAAGGAAGTCGAGTCGATGACGCCCACGGTCAAGAAAAGGCACTCAGGAAACAAAAGAACCAAATGGAAGAAAGTAAGAAAGGAAACAAACCAGCCAAATATTCAAACCGCCCTTCTGGGCGTGATACATCAGGTCGTCAGACACACGCCGTCCTACAAACGGAGTATAAGGAAGAATCCAAGAACACCCAACAGTCTCA